GGGAAATCCTTCGATATGAGCCGTGACGTATAACGGCTTTAGATGTTGAAGATTAACCGATAGGGAACGGGGGAATAACTCGACCAAGGTTGCTTTTAGGTTGTCCTCGTTTCGGACTTCCCTATCGTCGTCGTTTGCGACGAAATCCACTTGTGTTGCTTCCTCAGTAACTACATCCTCGTCTAAGAAATTTGACTGATAGGTACTTGGTTGGAACTCAGCCGGTAGGACGTGGACCATACTGATCTCCATATGTTTAAGGACCGACGGGACCATCAGATCGTGGTCGTCATTTTCTGCAGAGGTAATCATGGTATTAGTCGACGGAGCATCCTCAGTCGAACCTTGGAGTGCCTCGATGTGAACCGGCATTTGAGGCGTGTTGACCGAGTCTAGCTTATGCTGGATGTTGTCCTCGACCATGTTTACTGCTGAAGATTTATTTTGGTCCTGTACCTTACGGGCTCGTTCTTCATAAGCGATACGGGCGTTTCGCGTGTCTAGATACACATCCAAACATGCCACCCTTTTTTTCTCATCGGCCGTGAGGCCGAAGAGAGATACAGCCGAGAAGACTTCAAAATGATATCGCAACTGCTGAAGGTCCTCGAGAGAAAAAGGTAATTCGGCAATGTCAATATCCGTGTAGGGATCGACCTCAAAGCCAAGGACCCGAGCCTCCCGTATATGTTGAAATCTAGCTTTCATTGCTGGGTCGGAAGTTTTCTGGATAATTTGCTGTGCATCAGGGCAAGTTAGTGCTAGGTCGAGGGCTTCCTGACAGGCCTTGGGTAGTCCGTACAAGTCCTTGGCAGAATATGTCTTATGAAACTTCCGCATGTACTCCAAGGAGTCACCGAGGAATGGAGGGTGTAGATTTCGCCGTATTTTGATGAACGGATCGAGCCGTGGTAATGGAGAAAGTTTCCTTTCGGCCTCTTGTCTAAAATGCTCGAGACGAGTTCTTGTCTCCCCAGGCCGGAGAAGAAGCTTGATACGTTTCTCAGACTCTTCAATGGTGGTCTCAACGTCGGGAGTCGCCGCTTTTTTCCCTTCGAGTAATTTGGTCATGATAGTCCGGGTTGGCTGATCGTTAATGCTTTCCACGGCCTCTTTTGGTTGCCACCGGCTGGCAGTGTTGGTCTGCGTTTCTCGTCGTCGAGCCATGCAATCTATCCGTTGGCGACGACGTTTTTGAGATTTAGATAACACTGTATATAGGCCAGTCGAGGAGTTGTAGCTGTACCAACGTTGATCTGGTGTCTTGGGCGATTTGAACGTTTTTCGATCGGCTGATGAGCCCGAACTGCTAGCATTGCGCAAGTAATAATCCTCGTTATAGAAAGGTGCGTCAAAGTTAAGACGTCACCTGACCGGGGCCTTGTCTTTTGGTCGTACCTGTGGGCCGAGTTTCTCAAATACTTGGCGTCGTGGACCATTACCAAATTCCCTTGACGATGTTGTAGAGGTCGTAGACGGTGGGCCTAATGTTGGTGTTGAAGATGTCTTCTTCCTAGGTTCGACTGGTGTTTTATAATGGTCGCATAGAACCATTGATTCATTAGTTTCCTCGGAACTCGACCCCGTCATCGGCTCATCGATGGTTGGCCCCGAGCATTCAGTTGGTGGTGCATTCGAAAACAAATCAAGCTTCAATCGTGGTTGACCATTCTTCTTACGGACATGCTGCACCGGGCAGGATTCGGCCTTCCCTTTTCCTTTGTTTTTAGGGAGATGAGCCTCCACCATGCCAATTGTTGTTGAAGGGAAAGGATTGACGTCGACCGCCATCTGCTTCTCCGGGAATTTCAACTTTCCTTTCTCGATCTAACTTTGAATCGTATCTCGGAATACAACACAATTATTGGTTGCGTGCTTATTAGAATTATGATACTTGCAGTATATCTTGCCCTTCAGTTCGTCGGCCTTAGGGATAGTATGCCCCGGGCGAAGTTTGATGATTTTTGCTACCAATAATTGATCGAAAATTGCATCGGCTTTGGTGATATCAAAAGTGTATACTTTTGATGTTTTACTCATTTCCTCGATGGCCGAACGGGTTTTGTTGTCTTTGGAACTAACTTGAGCTAATGCCTTGCAGACATATGGTTTATCGATTACTATTTCGGCCGCGTCCACACTAGCATACTGAGGATCCTCGCTTTCGGCCAATGCATAACTAACCGTGGGATTTTTATACAACGTTCCCCGGGATGGTCACTTTCATATCTTCTCTTCTCGGAGCAAATAATCATACTGCTTAATGTGATGAGCAAGTTCATACATATCTCGAATATTTGCCCCTAGAAACTTCTTTTTGTATTCCATGTCCAAACCGTTTAGGGCAATCCTGACGAATTCCACTTCGGGGAGAAGTACTCGGCACCAATTCCTGGCCGACTTAAACCTTGTTAGGTATTCCATTGGGGATTCATCGGACGCCTGAGCCATCCTGGCTAACGATGATACGGACATTTCCATCCCCGGCCGATAGAATTGCTCATGGAATTTCTCGACTAATTCTTCCCAACTCTGTACGGAGTTCGGTGGGAGATTAATGTACCAAGCGAAAGCTGAGCCTGTCAGTGAAAAATTAACAGTCGTAACTTATAGAAGTCGCTATTGACGTTTTCACACTGCGCCGTGAATCGAGCCACATGTTCTAATGAGGATAAAGACGATTCTCTGGCGAAAAGACTGAAATCAGGGATCTTGAAACCTCGCGGGTATTCAAACCTTTCTACATAAGCTGGGTATGGATGGATGAATTTTGGAAACTTTGGTCCTTTCTTCAAGGCCGAATCAATCATTCTTTGGACCTCGGTTATGTTTACAGAAGCGGCTTCTTCTCCCTAGTTTGGTCCGTCGGATCTATTGCTCGGTCCACCTCTTTTCTCTAAGTTGATTGGTTGTGGCCGGGTTGTTCCTCTCTCGGCTTGTATTGGAACATTCGTAGAAAGCTGCCGAGGTTGTCCTACCTGGCCATCTTCAACGGCTTTACTAACCAATAGTTCAAGCATCCTAGTCTGCGTGTCGTTGTTACTTCGTATTGCGTCTAGTAAATCATTCATCTTTTGACCAATCGATGCTCGACCTATCGATATTGTTCATTGAGTCGTCTTCGAAGAAACGACCTAGTTGGTGGATCAGAACCCTCCCCACCATCTTCGTTGCAATCTTCTACTACTCCTTCAACAAACATGCCTGCTATTTGGTTAGGGACTTCTGAGTTGCGAGGTTGTCCGCCGATATAGATCTCATTTTCTCGGCGCGTCGTAATTGTGGCCTCGGGTGGCGCAACAATGATCGAATTTTTTGCCGGGTGCAAATCCTGCCCAGGGCCTTGTGGTAAGTCAGCTGTTGACTTTCCCATTATAGTTTTCTTCTTTACAGACCGTGTCTCAATGGTCATGAACTCCGAAGGTCTAGCACAATGGTCCTACTGGGCGTGCCAAAATGTTAACCCTAAAAATTACAAAACCTACGTGGCGCGTAGGCCGAGTAACTAATAAGCTAACTACGTCCTTCGGTTGAATACGGGGCGTGCCAACTCGTCGGTCGAGCTCGACCGAGGAGTAAAATTCGTTGATGTCGCGTTGAGCGCGTTGTTGACTTCTTTATCTTGCGACTGCGACCGAGGAAGGAACGTTCTCGGTCCTTGGGTTCTAGAGCCTGAAGACAAGGCTACTAATTCTACGAAGTTCACAAATCGTCGGCGCCCGATTCGGTCACTGTGATTATATTTGTAAGAGTATAGGCACGTTGAATCGACACCAAACTATATGGACACAGGTACTCAAATGTGATGTATGTCTTGATGGTGAATGTAGTTCGGCCGTCGGAATGTCGAACTCTGAAACTCACTTGCGAGTATCCAATCATAAAATCACTCGGCGTCCAGTACGCCGAATAATGTAATTCGTAACACCTTACTATGCCGAGAAGGCTTAGCAAGGTGACCTCTACCAACAAGGGTTCGAAAACCCTTCTCTGCCGAGACTTAGATAGGTAATCAGTCGGCCTTGACGCAGTGCTGTTTATCGAAACTGAAGGTGCTTCTCGGTTGGCTGATTCTGCGGAAATAGTGCTGTTTATCCAAACTGAAGGTGTTCGTCGGGTGCCTCCACAGTGCTGTTTATCCAAACTGAAGGTGTGTTGGCGGAAGAGAAAAGGAAAAATTCTCAAGATGTATGAGAGGCTTTGCGCAGGGCAATTGTATGTTGAATCGAAGGTCCTTTGCATCGCATGATTTCTTGTATTTATAGCCCCCATCCCTTGAGACCGAATCGCACCCTTATCTGGATTGGGAGTCTTTGTCCCGCTCCAACTTTGCTTCGAACAAACCCACTCCTATTAGGATTTTGAACTTTCCCCTCTTCCGAGGCCTTATTCTTCGCTGACCGGGAATCCTGGTTGCACCAGGACTTTCTCGACCTTTTTGTTTATTTGAATTATTCCTTTTTAGGATAGGACTCGACCGCCCCAACCAACTGGCCCAGAATCTACCAGGCAACCCATAGTAGTTGACATAGCTTTGGGCCAAGCCTAACTGTCTGCTCGGCCCAACAATATTATTTTGGGCCCAAACAGGTGCATTCATGCACAGTACAAAGATTAGACCTCCAATTTTTTTTCAAAGAGGGTGGGCGGAGGAGAGGAAAGGGACAAACGTGTGCTATGGTGGGAAGGTTATGTGAAAGTGAATTGAAGTTTAAGGGGTGTTAATATAATGTTACAAAAGTGATGAGGTTTTATTAAAAATTCGATAAACCTAATGTTAATGCAATTAGCCCATGCAAAAACAAAAAATCCAAAAACAAAATAAACAAAAGAAGAAAAAATTCAACTACAACTACCAACCATGCGGAACATCTAAATGACCTTTGACAAGCTGTTGATGAACCATTGAGTCATGTTCTGTCATAGTGGGGGCCCAGCCACGTGGCGTCCCTCTCACCCCCTGCTGGTCAATCCCCCAAATTAAAATTTCAAAGAAAATTCGAAACAACGAGGACAAACAACCAAAACCCCAACCCAGCAAACACATAGAAAAATAATAGAAAAATCGAGAGAGAAAGAGAAAGAGAAAGAGAGTGATCGATCGGTCAGATCAAATCGAATAATGGGTATGTATGACAAGGGGAGGTTTTCGGGGTAGAAAACCAGCAATGAAAGGCGTCTACTCGCCGCCCGGAGATTACATCTACTTCAGGTCCCAAGTTCCTCTTCACAAGATCCCAGTACGTTTCTTTTCACCTCCACTTCTCCTTTACCCTTTCGAATTTCTCCATTTTTTTGTGATTTTGTTCCTGGGTTTGATTCTTTAGTTTGATTTTACTGCTGCATTTTTTGTTCTTTTGGGTTTAGTCTTACCTTTTTAGAAAACCCAATTGTAAGATGGTTCCTATGTTTGTGCATAGTTTTGTATTTTCAACTGTATTATGACGTGGGTTTGTATCAAGTTTGTGAATTTTGATATGGGGTTTTTTCTAATTTGCTCAATTGTGAGTTGAGGTTCTGCATGTGGAGCTGCTTATGTATGTACCCTTTTGCAGCTGTAAAGCTACATGATTAATCAATTTTAGGTGTGTTGATAAGCAGGTTTCTGCTTATTTTTGATTTCTTATTGTCTTGATAATCGGGTTTACTTTGAACTACTGTGTATGTTTACATTGAAATACCGTGTATGCAGATTGGCACGAAGCAGTGGCGATACTATGATTTTGGCCCAAAAGCAGTACCTCCTCTTATTTGTCTTCCTGGAACAGCAGGGACAGCTGATGTCTGCTACAAGCAGATCATGCCATTGTCCATGAAGGTAGTTGGCTGGCCTTCATATAATCTTCATTGTATGTATCACATAAGTCTTTCCAAAGCATATTAGTATTTGATTTTCGTTTTCTTTTGTGTCATAGGCACTTATAGACTATACTTTCCAGTTTTCATGGTCCACTGAGCTTGATTTTTTTTCTGTTTAGTTGTTTTGTTGCAAACAATCAGCAACTTGCATTTATAGTCCAAGATTTTGGATGAAAAAAAATTTCCGTGCATATTTGCTTTACTTTTTGGTGTCTTTTGTATATGTTCAATCTCTGTATATTTGGATTTTATCTTTCTAGATAATGATTTCCTTTTATTCTCTTTAAATGGATAATTCAGTTGTTTAACTAGACCTTTAAGCCCTGATTTTTGGTCTCTGTGCTTCCGGTGCACTCAGGTTTCACTTTTCAGTAACATTTATATTTACCAATCCCGACCCCTCTCTGTCCAACACCCCTATATTTGAATGGTTGTAGCTGGTTAGTCTTCTCAAGTTCTACTTAATAGATTAAACGTTAATACTAGTAAATTATAATATATGCAGGGTTATCGGGTGATTTCTGTTGATATTCCAAGTGTATGGAATCATCACGAGTGGATTCTAGCATTTGAGAAATTCTTGGATGCTATTGATGTCCATCACGTAAGAACTCCACTTACTTACAGTTTACTCCTGCCAGTGTCAATCTAATTTTCTTTAGTATTTCTGTTGCTTGCACTGAAGGAATTTCTCGTTTTCACAATGCACAAGTAGCTTTTTGGTTCTAAATTGTTAATTTCTTTAAGAACCACCCAACTGCTGCATACAGCTTTCAGTGATTAATGACCTTTTATCCCTACTTAAGTATACATATGATATTTGGGTGCATCTTCATGTTATACTGTTAGCAAGGTGCTTCACGAATCAACAGTTTTTCAGTGATTGTGCAAGATGGAAATATTACATTTCTGATTGCATGCCACGCCCAGCTTCACAGATACACACGTAGAACTCTCGGTACTTTGAAATTAAAGAAAGATCCTAAATTCCCTGATTTCTAGTGTGTGGGTAGTTGAGTAGTGATTTCAGTTATACAGACAGATTTGAACTTGGTATCTAAGTCATATGATAGTCAGATAGTAAATTCACTGCAATAATTTACACTGAATGCTGCATCTAGAAAATTGCTTTTAATTTGGATCAGATTGGAAGGATTTCAGACATATTACATGGAATACAGTTAAACTATCCCTATGTCTAAAAACAAAGAGTTAACTATCCCTTAAATAAAATCATTCTTAGCACCATGATATTCTGTTTTTTTGTTTTAGATTAGATAATTAAACAGTTGCTGATTTTCTGGATATGAAATGCCTATTCAAATGGTGAAAAGTGATCGGAGCAGAGAAAGGGGAAACCCGCTGTCCATGAAATATTACATCATGTACTTGAGAAATGTGCTTCATAACAGTGCATATCTTGATATATAACTTAAATGAATTGTGAGATTTTCTAATTGATGTTAAAACATCTTCTCATACTTGTGGGGGCTCTAGTTAAAAAAAAAAAATAGTTCTTTTAGGTACTCTGATCAATTTCTTTCTAACAGATACATATCTATGGTACAGCCCTTGGGGGCTTCTTGGCTCAACTTTTTGCTCAGCATCGTCCAAGAAGAGTTCGGTCATTGATACTATCAAACACATTTTTGGACACGCGTAACTTCTCTGCAGAAATGCCATGGGCTCCCGTGTATGTTTGTCATATTGTATTTTACACATTGATAGAGCTACAGGCATGCTGTTAATTTGTGCCAAATCAAAAATTAGGTATTAGATGGCAAATATTTAATGAGTGGTTTTGATAGAGGTTGATAGTTAAGCTATTTATTTCAACATCTGTGTTCCAGTGTTTTGTAAGTGTTCAGACGTTGCATTGACCTAGCAAAGGGTTGTAATGGTCTTTGGTACTGCTTGATGTTTCTTGGTTTTTTAAGTTCTGTTCTTCCTTTCAAATAACCTAAATTATGTATTACCAGGATAAGTCTTTAGCCTTTTAACTTCTCCCTGCTTCCATGGAATATTGAGCATTTGACCTAACTGATTGAAGGGATCAAGTTGATTGAAATTATCTACTTACCCTCTCAAGTGGCTAATCTCATCTAGGTTCTAAAGTGACATCATTATTAATGAAATGTCACTTGTGAAGTAAAAAACTTCGTACGATCCTTATAAGGGATTACGTTCATTGGAACCATTTATCCACCCTTTTTCATGGTTATTTTTGTTTGATTTTTAAATAAAACAAGAAAAGAAAGGTTCCACCATACTTCAATTTTTAATCAAAATGTTTGGCATTATTGATTGGATATGATATACTGTTCCTCGGGAATTTAAATTCTCTATATATTGTTACAAGGTGCATACTGCATTTGTATAGTCTTTTGGCTCATAGAGTAATTTGCTTCCAATTTTGTTTTGTTTTGACAGATTGAGTTACCTGATTATGGTATTGTCTTATGCAGCATTAATTGGACCCCTTCTTTTTTGTTGAAAAGATATGTCTTGACCGGAATACTCGATGGCCCCCATGAGCCATTTATTGCAGATTCAGTCGACTTTGTTGTTTCTCAGGTAGAGTCTGTGAACGCCCTTACAATCTACCCGTTATGGCTATCCTTGTTACTTGTACAAGTTGAACGGTTGTGCAAGCTGTTGTAGTTTCTGACTTGGAACTGTGATAAATCAGGTTGAGATGCTCTCAAGAGAGGACCTCGCCTCCCGGTTAACTTTAACCGCTGATACTGTTTCAGTTGGACCGCTGTTGCTTACAGATTCATTCATTACTATAATGGATGTATGTATTCCGGATCTGGTTTGGTTTGTGTTAGTGCATACAAATACATTTTCAAATAATCCCTCTAGAAACAAGTGTTTGGTTACGTAATAAATTTGTCACACTGCATTTGTTGTGATAAATGTCTTTCTAGATTCGGAGTTACTTCACTTCTTCATCCTAAATTGTTTTAAAGAGACCAGCTGTGGTGTGGATATGATTCTTTCAACCACTGTTTAAATGTGAATGTCTACGGCTTTATGCCTTAGCATGTTTGTTCATATATCTGAACCTTCTTGCAATACCATAGATAGGGAAGTTTAAACATTTAAGCTGACCAGTCAAAAATTTCTTCCTGAAACATATACATGAAGACAAATGACTACAGCGGGATTCCTCAACAACTCAAAGATGAAGTTAGCGAAAGGTATCTTAACGCAAGGCAAGCACAATTGAAGACTGGGGGAGATTTTCCGTTCCTGTCACGACCAGATGAAGTTAACTTACATCTTCAGGTAAATGGTCTCTCTAATTTGCTTCTACAAGTCTTTATGACCTTATAATCCAAATGGTGTTTGCAATGTGGTCAGCTGCATCTAAGACGGGTTGGTGTGGAACCTCGACCTGACTTAGTTCCAGGTATTTCAAAGGGAGGTGGCGGTGGTAGTTCTAGCGAAGAGAGTGAGAAAAAAGACCCAGAAGATCCACCCAATGATGATAAAGGAAGCCTGGATAATCCATTTGCAGAACCTCAGCTACCTCCTGCTCCAGAGAGTTCAGAATCTCATAGCTCAGAAGACCAGCTCATCAGCAATGCAAAATTCTGCCACTTCGGTGATGGAGACACGACCTTGAAGAATCAACACACTATAACCACTGAATTTGTTATGCAACTTGGTCGTGAGATGTTTTCTGTTCATTTGCTTTCATTTTATATGGCATCGTTGTACATTAGTTTGAACTGCAATCTGAAGCTGAGACCTGTTGTGTAAAGTGGAACATCTTGACATTGTTGTTTGTTGCTTGGATTCTGATTCTGAGTTCACATGTGCTTATCTCCAAGCCCTTTGTGGTGTTACGAATAGTAATATAAGCCCTCATCTCCTTGCATTAGATTCGGCAGCGTCGAAATACCTACTATGCCTGATGTTTCCTTCTCAAAGTTAAAAATTATTCATATCTACCTTCCATAAAACTTGAAAGTTACAAGTTACCCAATCCATTCTAATCCTAGTCACCAAACGAGCACCAAAGCATTTAGCAACTACATCAAGCTTCCAAATGTTACTTGAAGGTCTTACATTGGTTTTTCGATACCTCAGCTACATCCCATTCCCTAGGGCAAGACTCACCTACATAACCCATTAATACTTTACTCCACAGTTCATCACAGGACTGGGAAGGCTTCTCCAAGATCATTCAAACTATTGCAACAAGCATTGCATTGAAGGCATAGACTGCACTTTACTAACACAAATATCATTGCACCATTTCCATATACTACAATTAGCAGCTCAAGTTCTGTTGTTTACTTGGTCTTCAACCGAACGACGACCAAGTCTAGACATTCAAAAATATTCACGGATGAGGGAACTTCCTCTTACCTGAGTGTTCAACATGATAATGAATTGAACTCTATTCAATGTTGGCAGATGGTCAATCTAGAGCGTTAATGAGGTGAACTCCATTCAATTCTATGGTCCAACATTGATCATTGACATCATAACATGACAGATTATGACAATGGAACATTACTCTTCAAATATCCTCGTCCGCAAAACCCGCTAGACCAAACTTATTAAGTTGTCTAATTCTTACATCAAAATATCCTATAACTATAACACTCCACATTTCCACGTTAAATAAATCCAGCATTGAGAATTTGCACCACCAATGACCGATGCGAAACTCGCATCTAAATACTACATTCACAACTAAATGATTGTATTCGAGACATAAAGTTTACAGAGGAAGCATTGCCTCATATGCTTCTCAATTACCATTTCTTTGAGCTTGAGGTGCAAATGCAATCGAAACGCAAGCGAAATGCAACCGAAAGATCAGACTTTACAAAAACAGCAAACTTCCCAGACAGAAACAAAATTCCAGACCACAAAGTAATCCAGCAAATCCAGATTACATTCCATAAAATCATCAGCACTTACATCCCAAACACCTCCAAATTTACCAAGTACTCGACACAAATTTCAATTCACCGCAAACAAAATCCAAACAAACAAACCCAAAATTTACCATAAAAAGAAGAAAAAGACGTACATTACTCCCAAATTACTTCCACAAAACACTTTCACCCAGGCAAAACGTACCGTTTCGTACCTCACTTGGCCACCATTCTGGCAATGAAGTCCTCGTATTTGATCTTCCCATCGGACCCGACATCCACCTCTCGGATCCACTCGTCAAATTCGGAGGGCTCCAATTTCTCGCCGATGCTGGTGAGGATGTGCCGGAGCTCCGAGACGGAGACGAAGCCGGTGGAGTCCTTGTCGAGAACCTTGAAGGCGTCGCGGAGCTGGCGATCGAAGGGCTCGGGCTTCATGTGCTTGGCCATGAGTTCGAGGAAGCGAGGGAAGTCGAAGGGGGCGGTGAGCTTCTCCTCGGCGACTATGGATTTGAGTTGGGCCTGGGTCGGGTTGCCACCGAGCGATCGCATTAGGATCCCTAGCTCGGACGGAGCAATCTTGCCGTCGTTGTCGGTATCGAAGAGCGTGAACGCCTCCTTCATCGACGATACTTGGTCATCGCTCAAATCCTTGCCCATTTTTCCGGGTCGCGGTTCGGGTTTTCGGGTCTCTCTGTGCGAAACTGGCTGGCTTTTGTCCCTTTGATTTCTCTGGGAGAAGCAAGGGTGGAAAGGAATTTGGAATTTGAACAGAGGGATGGAAATAATTGTTAGAGCGCTAACATACGTGGCGTCGTTTTGTGAGGAGTAGACCAACTGTGTAATGGTGTCGTGTTGATGTTTGAGGAGCAAAAAATTAAGACAAGTTGTCACGTAACATTATAGTAATAGTATTCTTTTTTATTTGTAAGTGAAAAGTTTTAGATTTCATTATTACTAAAAGGAAATTTGAACAACATGTATGCTAACCTTTTGTGAAGTTAAGCTCACATATCTTTTTCTCAGATAATATCGTTTGTTAAAGAAAAAAAAAAATCCAAATACAAGTTCAAAATCTAATGCTTCCAAGATTAGAAAAGAGTTTGGTTGGCGGTTCGAACTCTTCATTTTCTAACGTTATTTAAAATATTTAAAGTAAATTCAATAAATTTTTTTTTATAAAGACAGAGAAATATAACTTATTTAAAATATTTAATCTTAGTTTACTACCTTAAAGTTTTTTGGTTTTCAAGGTATATGAACTTTTTTTCATCCCAAACTGGTACCTAAAATCATAATTTTGAGACATTCACATATATCCTTTAAGGTTGTTAAGTCCACCGTTAATTGGTGACGTGGCACCCACGTGGACAATGATCGGGTGCCACATGTCAATACGGGCCTACATGGATATTGAAAAATTTAAAAATTTAAAAATTTAAAATTAAAAACAAAGTTTCTTCTTTCCTCTTTGATCTCCAGTTTCACCATCGCCCTTTGATCCCCACCATCAAGAGCTCAGGGAAGCTCCCTCGATGATGCGAGAATTATACGCACACAAATTAAACCCTCTTTTTGTCAATTGTAGTATAAGTATAAGTAGGGATCGTTCTGGACCGGGGATTAGGAGGGATTGTTAATCTCTTGGAAACTGACTCAAAAACGTAAAAACAAGATAAAACACTAAACTAGACTCAAAGAATGTGAAACTAAACGTTAAAACACTAAGACAAACCAAAAGACTCAAAATGCTTTAAAAACACAAACTAAATTGATTTCTAACTAAATTGAACAATAAAGTAAAGGGGGATTGGATTTGGACGACTTTAAACTAAAAATGGAAACTTGGAAACAAAACAAATTGTAAATATGGATTTGACGGAAATGAATGGATGGGAAGCTAGCTAAGGGGTTCATCTCCACATATGTTATACTTGCATACAAAACGATGTCTAATTGCTTTTCAATAAACCATGAATTCTCAACGCCCCGGGTTAATTAGGTCCGCTTAAATTAACCGTCAAGTTTTCCTTAAGTTAATGAATTGGATGATTGCATACGACAATTCAAAGCATTCCTCACAAGTTCCCTACATGAATTGCATAATAGAGATACAAGCAAGAATCATTAAGCATCATGAAAACTATAAGTGTTGACGAGGCATTCGTTACTATGATTGCATGAAACTTATGCCAAGAATATGTTTAACACGATTGTTTATAAGCAACCTCCACTACTTGTGAATATAAGTTCATAACTATTACGTGAAACTCACTTATATTCTAACGTCAAATTCATGCATGAAAATTAAGCGTTCATTCTTAATAAACATACATAAATAGGTTATCAATTAAACAGTTAAACAAATTGAATTCACAATTTATGAAACGTAATTAAAAGTAATCAAATCATATTACAAACATAAACATAGTTTCGAATTACCCCCTAGCTAAAGGGGGTTTAGTTCCTCATAACTTTGAAATCAAAGAAACACCTAAACATTCCAACAACTCAAAACTTTGAATTGTATGAACGTTTAAGCACTCTTTTCTTCCATTTCTCATACGTACAAAACAAAGAGAATTAAAATGAAACTTTGAAATCAAAGAAACACCTAAACATTCCAACAACTCAAAACTTGAATTTTATGAACGTTTAGGCACTCTTCTCTTCCTCGTTGTTGTAGCACAAGGTTTAAGGATAGGTTGGTTGGGGGGATGGAAGTGTTGGGGAATTATGGAAATGGATGAGGATTGGTGGAAATGGAAGATGGTTTTTGGATTTTAAGGGAGAGATACTCACGGCTAGGGAGAAGATGGAAGTGTTTGTGGTGTGTTGTGTATGAAATGAGATGAGATTTGAATGAATGAATGCAAGGGTATTTATAGGAGGAGTGGAGATGTATATGGCTATTTGTTTAAGGTGTTTGTGGTTGCAATGATGAAGAATTGCATGTGGAAATAAAAGGGAAAATGTGGTGAAATGATGAAGTAGGAAGGTGGAAATGCATGTGAGATGTTGGAAAGGAAATGGGAATATGAGTAGGCCATGGCATGGGAGTTGTTTTGTTGGTGTAAATGTGCCATGGTTGCAATGATGAAGAATAAAGGGTGCATGTGGGGTGGAATTGAATGAATGCAAAGTGAATGAATAATGAAATGAGTTAAAGAGGGAGAATGTGGTGAAATGATGAAGTAGGAAGGTGGAAATGCATGTGACTTTTTTGTGGAATAAAGAATGAATGGTGGAAATGTGAGTGAATGATGTGCATGTGTGTGAATGCATGTGAATTAGTTTGGAAAGAGGTGGGTGTGCATGTGAGATGAAATGCATATGTTTGAAATGTGTAGATGATTATGAGTATGATAAGTGATAAATGAATGATATGTGGTGAGTGATAAGTGAATGGAAATGATAAGTGATAAGTGAATAGAAGTGATAAGTGATAAATGTATGATATGATAATTGAATGATATGTTAAGTGAATGATATGATAAGTGAATGCTTTAAGTGTTTAAAAATAGGGAACAAAACCCTTCCTTGCATGGCAAGGAACGGAGACACAAGGAAACACACGACAATGTCCTAAGGTTGCAAGGAATGTTGTTTTTGTGTTCTAAAATGCGTAGGAGTTTTCAATGATGCTTAAACATGAGGTCTTTTAGGATTTAACTTTCCTACTTCAAGTCTTTAATTTCGTCCATCCTCTTGGCTCCAAGCATATGATATCCATTCCAATCTCTAATTTGCTCCAAAAGGCTCAAAAAGGCATCCTTTTGCATACCTTGCCCTTAGAACCTGAAAACACACAAAAGAAGCATAAAGGACTAAAATAACTAGAGAAACATAACGTAAATGCACGAGAACAAGCCATTTAAGTCGCATGAATATGCTCCTATCACTCGACCCTAGCCGCTGTTAACGAAACGAAAGAGAGGAGGTCATGCAAACGTGATGAACAATTTTTACGAAAAAGGAAAAAAATTAGAAAAGACGATGAGGATAGATTGATCCAACAGATCTTGAGAGAAGGATCCTGAGACAACGTCGATGCAAATGACATGGACGGTGGATTTACTAGGAGAAAAAGGACGCTATCATCGTCGATGGTGACAATGCAGGAACGGCGGATGGTGCGATCAGAGGGAGGCAAATCAGGAATGGAGGAGTAGAGGTCGAAATCCTGAAGGGCCCAGTAAGGTAGGTAGGGAGGGTTGGCCTAGTCAGAGATGTAGAGGTCAACAGTGGGTTTGGAGATGTGGGTTTTGAGGATTTTACATCCTACTTGGCAAATAACTCTGATTACGTGCGGTATGAAATCTCAATGTGGTTTTGCACCCTAAGACTATCTCCAACCCTTTGGCTAAAACCTAAAATTTTTAATCCAGAAAATTTACGTTTTAACCCAGAAACAGCTTTTTTGCTCCAACCATTCTAGGTTAAAATTTTAGCCCTAGATCATTAAAGAATGAATTTAAGCTAATTTTTTTTCTTAAGGTGCTTTTTTAAAAGAAAAAATTATGCAAACTATCCTAATTTAATTTTATGAACATTTTTACCTAAAAATGTGTAGATTTCAAAAAATATTGAAAATCACTAACTGACACCATGAAACATATGAAACATTATGAAAGAATACGAAATACATAAAAGATTTTTTTTTATTATTTTAGCTATTAGATTTAAATTTGGACCGTTAGATTTTATTTTTTTATTGTTGGATTTCAAATTAGATCTTAACCGTTGGATTCAATGAATTTTTAAATACAAAACTAAAAAAAATGTACATATATGGTGAACTAGCCCCACTAACCCAAGGAGGAATCTTGGGCTAAATTGGGCCCAGAAATGTGAAGGAAATATTTGTGAAAACTAGTTTAGTTGAGCAACATCTCTGCATGCAATTAACAATTAAAAGACGGAATCATGCTTGTATGCACTCAAAAACAAAACTTTAGCCATGAAATTCAAGGCCTATTAATTGTGGTGAACCAAGACTCAACTCAAATCTTAAAGAAAAGAGTTGAGAAACTTTTATACCTTTGAAGCACCTCTTTGCTTAGCAAAGGATATTCACCCATATGAGGGCCTTCTTTCCTTATTCTCCTTGCTTCTTGACTCCATGGATGTGGATGGAGGAACTTTGCTTCTTGGCTCCATGACTTCTTGGATGGATGAAGGAATGGATTCTCCAAGTTCCCAAAATGGGGAACCTCTAAGTCTCCACACCAAAGAGAGCATTAAGGAAGAGATGAGTGACCTAGAGGAAGAAAGATTGCTAGCTATTTTCCTCTAGAGTGTCCGGCCTCCTAAGAGAGGAGAGAGCTTTGTGTTCTCATCTTTTTCTCTCTAGAAAATCCTAATGAACTTTTGGCTATAAAGTCCTCTATATAGTCACTTCACTTAAGTGACAAAAAGAACCAAAGCCCATTCATTTACAATATGGCCGGCCTTCTAAAGGCTTTAGGTTGTTTGGGCCCTTTTGAGTCTTTAGTCATTAAGTTGTCATACAACTTAAGTTAATGGGCTTGACGATTCTAAGCTCAATGGGCCTTGAGGTCGAATAATTACTCAAAAGCTAAAACGAACTTATTCGTTTGATTAATTAACGTATTTAATAATCCTAGCCATAAATAATTAAACCATTTAATTATCCTTACTCATCTCCGTTGTTTCTTCAAT